ACTGGCCCAGCATCATGGAGCCCATCCGCACAGTCTCTGACAACAACACTCTCCCCTGAAGAGGAAAAGCTGTTCCTTTCCCACCTGCGGCTGACCTGTGATGACCGCCAAAGTGACCACAGCACTGAGCTGCCGCCCCTGCAGATGGACGCTACAGGTGTAGGTCCCAGCCTGCTCCAGGCCCACAGTCTCAAGTCGAAGGGCAAAACTGCCACTCTTCCCGGTCACCAGGCGCTCAGAGCCTCCCCCAGGAGGAGTCCACTTGGCAGTGAGTGAAGAAGAGGTCCCCATAGCCTGGGGCAAGTGACAGGGCAGCTCCACCCTAGAGCCTGCAGCAGCGTACACCGTCAGAGGAGCTAGGGGCTCTAGACCTGGGGGGGGGGGGGGGGGAAGGAAACGCCAATATCAATGCCCAGGGGTGGGTATGCAGTGGGACAGAGGGCGGGAACTTCGAGGAAGGAAGGCAGAGGACGATGGAGGTACTTGGGAGTAACACACAAACAGAATAAAGCAGACAGGCTAGGGAAGCTGGAAAACGCAGACTGTACTGAGCCAGCAGAATACCAAAGGATGGGCAGCCAAGGGACAAACTAGGGTAGAGATGGCAGCTAAAAGACTCCCACAGAGGAAAGGGCTTGCACACTGCTACACGGCAATCTGAAGGGACACGGCAGCGGAGAACCTGTTTGGGGGAGGGGGGCATGAGTCAGGAAAGGTGGGCGGCAGAAAGGGGTCAAGAGTAAAGACAGCTTGGGAGAGTTACCCAGAACCTCGAGGTTGTGTGTGATGGAGACATTGAAACCATCTCTGTAGGTGAGGACACAGCCCCAGGTCCCGGAGTCCAGGGGACTGACTTGTGGGAGGAAGAGGAAACTTTCAGCTAAGTGGTGATGGGCGGACTTGTGGACTGGAACTCGGCTCTGACCCTGGAACCAGTGCACAGAGACTGGGCGGTCAGGGCGACTGAAGGAGCAGTTCAAAATGACCCAATCAGATGGCCTGAGGGGTCCTGAGGGACTGGCGATTACTGTGAGAAAGTAAAAAGGACCAATCAGTGGACTGGATGGAAACACTTTCTCAATGCAGCCAGCCCAAGCAAGCTGAAAACTCATGGAAACAGGGACGCTGTGTTCAGTTTATCCTTACAGTCTCCCATTCCAGCTCAGTACTTGAAACCTGGGATGTTTAACAAGAGACCCAGGACTCCTCTGTCTCCTGCCTTCACTTACTTTACTTGGCCTGTTCTTTGGGCAGACCTTGCCTGAGGATGAGCTATGGATGTCTTAAATGAGTCACTCTAGACCCCCAAAGAAGAGGCGCCCTCCCTCTTCTACCTCCACCAGGGAGGGCACTCCCGCTGTAGGTTGGGAGTGGAGGAAGGAGCTGGGGTATGTGATACAGTTTCTCCGTAGCCCCCTCACCCCCGCCTAGAGGCATGCATTTTAGGGGGGCACTTTCCACCTTGCCATCAAGCGGTCACCCTTTCCTGAACACTTCTGGAGGCCCTCAGGCGGGCCAGGGCTCTTCCTGTCTCGGGGCGACGGGGACCTGCTTCCCAGCCTCTCTCCCTTTGTCCCGCCCCACCTACTCGAGGCCAGGCCGACGCGCAGGCGGTGACGGCAGGAGAGGGTGCGGTCGGGGAAGCGCACCACGGCGTGGTACTCGCCAGCGTCGGCGCGCCGGGCTGGACGCAGCCACAGCGAGAAGTCCCCGCGCTGGAGGCGGCGCTCGTCCAGCTGCACGCGGCTTTGCAGGGGCAGCCTCCCGCTGCGCAGGCCTCCTGGAGCCACGCTCAGCACCGTGTAGCGATGGGGGGCCGACCTCCCAGGCAAGGGCTTCCCCCTGAGACGGTCGAGGGCAGGGGCGGAGTGGGAAATAGGAGTGAGGAATTCCGAGGCAATTTGAAAAAAGCCGTAAAGAGATACACTCTAAACACACTCTTGAGGATAAAGCAACCCGCCTAAGAGAGCACTCGACCATTAGCAGCCTCCCCCTCCCACCCCCAGTCACCCCATCTGCTACTGGAGAGGTGGCAGACTATGGACCGCAGATTGCAGAGAAGGCACTAAAAGGCTGTGTGGAGAGACCGAGCAACTGGCTTCTGAGGGACTCACAGAGGGGACAAAACTGGCTTGGATTTTTTTTTTTTTCGAGACAGAGTTTCTCTGTATAGCTTTTGGCTGTCCTGGAACTCACTCTGCAGACCAGGCTAGCCTCAAACTCACAGAGATCCACCTGCCTCTGCGTCTTGAGTGCTGGGATTAAAGGCCACTACTGTCTGGCCATCGGACGGGGTTTTATCAGAATGCCATTAGAACTGGACTGAGAGGTTCTGTCGCCCGACCTTGGGGTGCATACCCATCTGGTTGATGTTGCCAAGTGACCACTCCTCTTCGTAGAAGGTCGGGATTCCGGTGGGGGAGTTGGGGGCTGCAAGGAAGATGGACAGGGGCCCCCTCCTGGGCCCACACCACGGAGTCCTCTCTCCCAGGCTCTGAAACCACGGCTAGTGGAGCAACAGAGAGGCCAAGGGCTATGAGTCAAGAGATCTGAGAATAGAGAAAGGCCTCAGCGTTCCGAGAGAGAAATATCATTGCTCCCTGTCAAGGGGAGACTGAGGTGGCTTTGGTATTGGAAGAATTGTCCTTTTAAAAAAAGGCATTAGAAGCCCATCATGGTGCCAAAGAGACAGGTCACAGAGGCCCCTGCTGGCTTCTCCCCACTCCCCATCTTACCTGGAGCTTCCCACAGCAGTCGCAGAAGCAGAAGGCCTAGGAGCAGAGTCTCCCTCATCTCCTCTACGGCCTGGGCCTCCCTAGCCTTCCAAGAGAGGTCAGAAAGGGGTCCTGGGAGAAGAAAAACAAAAGTTCTACAAGGAGGGAGGTGAGGCAGGGCTAAAGAATGTAGGGTAAAGACGACCCCCAGGAGGGGGTGGGTGGTCTGGAGAGGGAGGAGGACCAATGACCAGACGCTGGAGACCAGAGGAAGCTGGCTAGATGGGGGGGGGGGGAGAGACACACCCCAGGGACAGGGCAGGGCTGGGGCAGAGAGCAGAGTAGACGCAAGGCCACGGCAGAGAGCTGGGATGCTCATCTGCATCTGAAGTCCTTCTGCTTCCCTTCCACCTTCCCCACTTCCCCTCCCCACTGCCCGCCCCCCAGCCCAGGGCTCAGGGTTTCGATTCGCAGTGGAAAGTGTGAGGGGGCTGTTTCCCAGCAGCAGAGCCCTCCGTCTGTTGTGGCACTCCTCTTGTTTACTTCCTCAGACCCGGGTCTCCCCACCGCCCCCTCTTCACCTCTTCCCCCTCTGCCCCCCTCTCCCGGGTTCTCGGGTTCTCTGACAAGCATGTCTGCCTAGAACGACAGCTGTATCTCTAAGCTGCCGCTTATGTCCCCGCAGTCACGTTTTCTTCTTCACGGGCTCTTTCCCATAAACTTTCCAAGAACTTGTTCCAGGAGAACGCCGCATCTCCTGGGCAGGTACACAGGAAATACCCCCGAACCACAAGTTAGCAGATCTAACGAGGAAGGGCTTGGTGGCACAGTATAGTAGCTAGCTACATGGTGGTAATCTTCAGTCTATGCTACTTATAGTATTATACATTTTCCATAAAGCAACTTATGAAAATACAGAGGAAATTGAGGCTCACAGGCATTCAATAACTTGCCAGGATTAGGGGGCATGAAGGCATGCCCTAGTCCTGATCCTATTTGCATTACTGGAGTGGCTTTTTTTCATCTTCTAGGAAGAGAATGACAATGGATACTCGTTTTGAGGATTTATTTCTGTTTATGTGTCTGTGATCATGATTGCTGCCCAGAGGTCTGAAGAGGGTGTCAAACTCCTTGGAACTGCAGTTACAGGTGGCTTGTGAGCTGCCGAACCTGGGTGCTGGAAACCAAACTCGGGTCTTCTGGAAGGGCAGCAGGTACTCCTAACTGATGGGTTCATCAGATAGTTCCCTCCAGCTCTGATCATAGGATACTTTGCCGTCTTCAAAGCTGCCCCTGCCTAATAATTCTGTACTAAAAAATGAAGGGTTTATGGAGACGGAATAATGCCTAAATCTTGAAGCAGAGCAAACTTGAGGAAAAAACTGAGGAGTCAGGGATGGCAGTACTGAACCCAACATTTTGGAAAGTAGAGGCAGGAAGAACTGGTTCTGGGCTTGCTTGGGCTACCTAGTGAATCCAGGGACATCATGGGCCACAAGGTATCCCTTGTGTCCACACCACCACAAGCAACAGACCTCTCTCCCACTTGAAAGGCAGAGGCAGGCAGTTCTCCGTGAATTCGAAGCCAGCCAGGGCTGCATAGCCAGACTGCTTTAAAATAATAGGAACTGAGGCAGGACTAGAGGAATCTGCCAACTCTTACTCCCCAACTCAGTCCAGCTGAGAAAATCAGAGGTGACAAGGAGACAGACCTGATACAAGTAACTGTGAAGCCATCCCCTGCTTGACTTAAGAGGACCCTACTGCCGGGCGATGGTGGCGCATGCCTTTAATCCCAGCACTCGGGAGGCAGAGGCAGACGGATCTCTGTGAGTTCGAGACCAGCCTGGTCTACAGAGCTAGTTCCAGGACAGGCTCTAAAGCCACAGAGAAACCCTGTCTCGAAAACCAAAAAAAAAAAAAAAGACAGGACCCTACTTCCCACGTGTCAAGACCCAAGTCTGCCAGTCTCTTCCCCTTTGGGGTGGGACTTCCTGTTTCTAGAGCTGTTTCTATCTGCCTGGTTCAGCACAACCGAGCCAGTAGGTTTCCACTGGGCTCAGCAGTGTCTAGATCTTGTGTGGGTTAACGTGATAGTGTGCATTGCTGAGGAGAAACATCCCCAGGAACCCAAAACAGACCATAGGTCAGCCCCTAGAAGACGACCTTGGGCTCCTAGTCCACCCCGGAGGGCTGGTTGTATCTTCTACCATCCGGATATGGGGTCAGCCACCCCTTTTCTACCCTTTCAGGCACTGAGTGGACCACGGGAAATCAGGAGACAGGTTAAAAACAGAAGCGCGACCGTTTCTTTATTAAATTATACAAAAAGGGGAGGGGGGCAGCTTCGGGGCTTGACCCCAACCCCGGCCCCACCCCGGCCTGGCGCTGTCTGAGAGGAGGGAATCTGAGGGAGACCCAGGGATCAGGCAGGAGAGAGAAGGGCAGGTTGAGAGGCTGGGGGTGCAGAGGGTAAGGACAGGCTTTGCAAGGGGCTGGGACAGACGGGCTGGTGAGGGAGGCAGGGAAGAACCAGGAATGCAAGGGGGAAGTGAGGGCCGGCTGGGGAGCTCAGGTGAGGCGGATCAGGAGCTGGACGGATGGCAGTGGGGGTGGAGGAGCAGTGTCTGGAGAGATGGAAGTGAGGCTGGGTGGAAGGACAAGGGTCACAGCTCTGGGGCAGGGCCAGAGCGGGGAGCCAGGAGAAGGGGGGCTGTATGTGTGTGTTCCTGCCCCACCTCCAGGACCTGAGGGGCCTCCCATCCCCAAGCCCACAAGCAGGGGCTCATGCCGACGCCCCATTTTCTGTCTTCTGCCTCTTGGGATCTGCTTCATCCTGTGGAAAGAATAAGAGTTGAGGTTGCTGTACAAAGGGGACCTCCCCCTCTTCCTGCTGGCCCTGCTCCAGCCCCTGCCTGTGCCACAAGGACCTGGGTCCGACTCCAAAGGGCCCTGCTATGTTCTTGACAGTCCCTCGGGTCCCAACCCAGTCAAACCTCCTCTTCAGCAGTTCTCTTTCGCACTGGGCCTTCATCCTCCTCCTCTTCTTCTTCCTCATCTGAAGAGCCAGAAACAAGTCAATGGGGAAGATGGGCGGCTCCGGGCACAGACCCACAACCAATCCATAGTTCCCCTCAGCCTGACTTCTGGTCTTCAACTGCTCCCTGCCTCTGCTCCTATGAGCCTTAGCTTTTCCAGCCCAGCCTCTCCTGCCCCTCCCTACCTTCTTCATCTCCTTCATCATCATCTTCTCCATCCTCAGCAGTTTCTTCTTCTTCCTCCTCAGCTCCATTCTCCTCCTCCTGTGGGTACCAAGACAAGGAGAGTGGTCAGGCTGGCAGTGTGGCCACCCACTAGGTGATAAAAAGACTCAGGGTAGGGAAAGAATGAGGGGGGAATCAAGAGGAAGGCAGGACCCCACACCCCCAGGAAGGCAAGAGGAGTAGGAAGGACGCTGGGACAAAGTGGGACCATCTTCTGCCTGCGATCTCCACACCTCCACTACTTCTTTCTTCCGTTCTTTCCGGCCAGCTTTCTCCTCCACTTTCTCCTTCTTTTCCTTCAGGTCCTGCAAGGCAGAAGGTCACCTTTCAGCACTAAGGGTGCACAACCTTGAGTCCCCCAGTCTGTTTCTCCAACTCTGCAGCTAGGTCAAAGGTGTTGAGTGAAAAGTGGTCACAGTTTAAGGAACAACACAAGTCCTCAGGTCCTGAGATTTGGGCCGTAATTGGCTGGTACCAGACTTTCTTCCCCAAGACCCGAGGGGAGTTGGAAAACGGGGAAGGGGAGCAAGCAGCCAAGAGTAACTGAAGCTCCCACCCCGTCAAGTTCTTCCAGACCTCTCCTGGCTTAAGAGTTGAGCTCCACAAAGCAAATCCCCATCTGCTGGCAGCCTCGACGCTCCACCCCCTTCACCCTCTCTGCCTGCCCTGCTCTGCCTTTTGTCTTCCTCAGGGGCCTTTGCCTAAGTACTCTCTCCCCTGGGCACCCTCCCAGCGTGCCCTTCAGCTTCTGAGGCCTTTGTTTCCCTGTCTGTGTCTCCCTAATCCTTCCGTTCCTACTTGGCCAAGCAGCACAGGGGTGTGAAGATCACCCCAGCATGTTTCCACATCGGTTCCTATCCCCAACGGGACAGTTTCGGTGTCCCCTCCTCTCCACCTTCATGGGCTATGCACTGGGATGGGTGAGTAGAAGTGGCCATTTTCAGTGGGCATAAAGGGAAAGTCTGGTAAAAGAAAGACACAGAGGAAGGAGCCAGCACAGCGAAGTCTGTGCCTGAATGGGAAGGTGGGTGTTACCTATAGCGAGCCCCCCCCTCCTCGCCTTCATCCTGAGATTCCAGCAGGTGCCCCGACAGAGGGAACTGCTCCGGTGGGTAAGCCCCTCTGGACAGAGGAGCCTTCCTATCCCATGCAGACTCTGCTTTTCCCCCATCACACTCCTTGGCAGGTACACGTTCTCCTATGATCTTATCTCATGTTAGTATGCAACTCTAGGGTGCAGGATCCCAAGTGGGTCGGAGTTTTCACAAGTAGATCGTCCCAGAAGGACGTGTCCTTTCTTGAACAAGACTGGGGTAGAGGAGGGACTTGGTGCCAAATGACCGGCCCGGGGACACTCGGCTCTCTTCTCCCTCTAGGAGAGCAGAGCACAAGAACGCTTGGCCCTCTGGCTCCAGGCAGGTTCCTTCTTCATTCTGCTTTGCTGTCACTTGTCACATGGTGGATCTGGCACTTGTTCTACCAGGTGAGCGTTCCCTTACACCCTGGGCCAGGCAGGGACTAAGTCAGCATAGCTCGTGTCAGGCCCTGGCCTGAGTTTCCCATCGGGGTTGAGGGAGGGGTGAGGGGAAGGGAGACTTCCAGAGACCAAAGTCCACAGGACTGGCCCCTCTGCTCCCGGGTGCTGTCCTTCTGGTCACTGTCCTCCCATGATCTCTTTTCCAGGAGGGTATGAGACCTGCCTGCCAGTGTTGAGTAGCTCTCTGACCTCTACACGGGTACACAAGCTCAGACAGGCTAACACCAACTCTACAGGGGAGCGCCCATGCGCTCTAGAGACACATGGCCCAATGTTTGGGCATTCTGGCACACTCTCACAGGACCACAGTGTAGCCAGCCACTCAGCATTCACAAAGCGGCATCATGCCTCCGGAACATCTCAGTCTCCACATGCACACATGTAACTGACACGGGCAGTCCCACACACTCGCTGGATCTCAGACATACAAAGACGCCTACTCAGTGAAGTCACATGCCACCGCACAACCCACCGGAGGGCTACACAGGCACACCTTGTCAAATCTCACATGTCCCCTCTCCCACTGCCTTTCATGCTATTAGATCCCCCGCTTCCACTTGAGCCTCCAGAACTATACTGCCTCCCCGCACCCCCCAAAAAAAGAGACAAGGCTCCCAGCCCCCAAGCTTGGCCGCATTAATTTCCCTAAGCGACACTCCGCAGTATCCCTGGGGAAATTAGAGGAAGGCTGGAAGAGAGACAAGGGCAAAGGGATGAGGCCGGGAAAGGCAGCTGCTGAGAGCAAAGACAGCTTGACGTATGGTCAGGCGATGCTGAGCTTCGGCTTTTTCGAAGGCTATTCTCTCCACCTTTTTGATTTTTAGGGATTCGACATGAGGGGAGGCAATAAAGAGAAAACTGGAAGTCGGTGGTGGTGGGAGAACGAATGAGGATAGGCAGAAAAGAGGGTGCAGGAGAGGCGCAGCCCTCCGGGGACGAGCACAGACGGTCGGGCCGCGAGGGGAGGGGCCGAGGAGTAGCCTCCCCCGAGAGTCCTGTTTACACTTGAGGATCCCAAACCGCTTAGCGGAGGAAAGGTGAGGTCATAGTGTTAAGAGACCTGGAGCCGCGGCACGGACACCGGGCCCGGGAGGCGGAACGCGCCGCTCTCCGACGGGAGGGCGGACCGGGCCGCGGCGGGCGCGGCGGGGCACGAGAGGGGTGGGGATGGCGGGGCCGGGCGGCGAGGCCCGAGCCAACGCGCGCTGGGCCGCTAGAGGGCGCTGGCAGGCGCCGAGCGCGGTGGGCAGCGCCGGGCTCCGAGCGGGGGGAGGGCGCAGCGGGGTCCGTGGGGACCCGGCGCCAGGGCCGCTCGGGGCCGTCGGGGGCGACCGAGCGCGAACGACCGCGCCGATCCCGGGGCCGCCGGGGTTCCGGGCCGCCGCCGCCCCTGCCCGTACCTTGGCGCTCAGCTCGGCCGCTGCCTCCACGCTCTTCTCCGACATGGTGCCGGGGCCGGGGCTGGCGGGGAGCCGGGGTCCCGGGGCCGAGACGGAGGGGCCCTGGACGGCGGAGGGTGGCCGCGGCCGGAACTTGGCGCGGTGGCGGCGGCGACAGTGGCAGCGACGGCCGCTCGGCAAGCAGGCTCGCTGCAAGAGGCGGCAGAGGCGCGCGGGGTGGAGCGGGGGTGGGTCCCGAGCCGAGACCCGCAGAGCTGCGGCCGTCCGGAGGGCGGGCGGGAGGGTGCTGCGGGCGGTGGCCGGCGCGCTCCGGTCGCGGTCGCTCGGTCTTGCTCGCCGCCCCCGCACCAGCAGAGCTGCCGCCGACCAGCCGCTGCCGCCCCCGGCAAGGGAACCCGCTTTTAAGGCGGCGCTGCCCGACGGGAGGGGCTTCCCAGGGGTGGGGCAGGCGGGAGCGGGGAGGAGAGGAGAGGGGAGGGGGATGAAAGAGGAGGTTGGAGAGGTGGGGATAGGAGGATGAAAGCGAAGGGCGGGAGAGCGAGCGGGGCGGGAGGAAGGACGAGACCGGGAGGGGGCAATGGAGAGACTGACGGCTCGGGAGAGAGCGGAGTGGGGCGAGGAGGTGGGAAGGGGTGGGGTAGCAGCGGGGAGACACCGCTCCAAATGCCAGCCTACTGCCTGCGAAGCTGGAGTCTGACTCCTGGGGGCGTACTGGAGAGGTGGCCAGACTCCTGCTGACCTCCTCGAAGCCCTGAAATTTTACTAAAGGGCGGGTGAAATTTTACTAAAGGGCGGGGGAGGGGGCATAATGTAGGGGGGAAGGCGCAGATGGAAAAGCTGGGCAGGTATTTGAGAAACCAAAAGCGGAAAGAAGGGGAACAAGGCTGCCGAGCCACTTCCATTTCTCGCTCTCGTCCGCTTTCTTTAGGTGGCCTTGAGGAGGAAAGGGCAAATGCAAAGGACAGCCCGGACCTTTCATAGGTTGGACCTGACATTTGTGGTCCTTGGCGGGTTCCTTCCCGTCTGTTTCCTTGATCTGAAGGGAGCCAGAGGCCTCTGATCTCTGCTGCCTCTTTCTCTGTCTTCTCACCTGTCTCATGTCTCACCTCACTTTTATTTGCCTGGTCCTTCTGTTTCTCTTCAACTCTCTTCATTCTTACTGACCAAGACCCCTCCCTTACAACCAACCATCTACGCCTCATTCCTTCTGCCGCGTGCGTGCGTCTCTCTAGACAACACCGTTGTCTTGCCTGACTCAGTCACCTGCCCGTGTGCACTTGGCTGATTACCAAATCTCCTTTCTATCCTCCTCGCTTTGCTTTTCTCTCTCCTCTGCTGCCCTCTTCCCCGGCCTTTCTGTCTTCTACGGCCTCCTTTGCAAACACCTGGAGTTTCCGCCACACCCTAGGGCTCGCGTCTTCAGCTCCTCACCCCTAGGTTCAGCAACAGTGAATCATTTTGAGAACCCTGGGATCTCAGAAGGGGGCAGGGGCTGGGATGTGGATTTGAGGTCAGAAAGGTGGGTGTAGCAGAGGGCCGGGCTTTGGGAAAAGATTGTCTTTGGTGTGTGTGGGGGGCACCCGCTCTTATCTGTTATCATTCCTCTTCACCTTTCCAAATCATTTTCATTAATAAAGACATTTTTAACCAGTTGACCTATTCCAGCACTTGGGAGGCTGAGGCAGTAGGATTGCCATTAGTTTGGTAGCATCCAGGGCAACACAGTGAGACATCTTGTTGTGCCCCCCAAAAATAATTTAGAAAAGAAGCCATCGTTGGTCTCCATCGCCATCATTAGCATGTGGGTGAGCCACCACACACATGCGCGCGCGCGTGCACACACACACACCATCTTTTGGTCCCTGGTACACACACCTCCTGGCTTCTCTGACTATTCAGTTTCTCCGTCTTGGTCTCATAAATCGTGGGAGCCCCACCCTGGTTTTTCCTGGCAGGATTCGGTCCACCTTTTCTCTGATATCTTTCCATTTCCCCTTTTCAATGTGCTTCTCAGATTTCAGTGAGTGATGTCTTTAGCAACCTCTCACCATATTCCATCTCTGTATCCTCTCTGGCTTCATTTATCTCCCCCTCCAACCCCCCCCCCCCACGCCCGCCCCGTCTCCCTCCGGGTTGGTCTCTTTACTCCACCTCCAGCCCCGCCTGCTGTCTCGGACACCCTGCTGGGCTCTTACCCTGTTGCCCTGGTAACCGCCCTCAACTCCGGTCACCTCCACTCCCCTCCCCCTCCCTCCAATCACCGCCACCAACTATCTCCATCCACCTTCTCCTATTTTTCCTGAGAACCAATGGAAACCCTGTTGCCAGGTGGAATGCTCATTTGAATCAGCCAATCCAGGAGCCTAACTGCTTGCCCTGCCTTATAAGGGGATGTGAGGAGGGCCACTCCCCCCACTCCAGCCCAACAGGGGACAAGCCCCTCCACTGTCCTTTCTCTCCACCCTAGGAAAGAGAAGTGGGACCCTCTAGTTCACCTTCACATAAAGAGCCTACTTTCCCATTTCTCTAAACGGGGCCGCCAGAGTTACTGGGAGGTGTGGGACGGACCATGGGGAGTGGGCTGGACTGTGGGCTGGGCCTCAAGCCTGGGGGTGGGAATGAGGTGTGATTAGGGAAGGGGAGGCGGAGGGAGCCAGGGAGCCGGGAATTTTGCCCAGGGAGGGGTGTCTGGGAGCGGAGGCAGCTGCAGTGGAAAATTCCAGGGAGATGGTGAGGCAGAGAATGGGAATCCTGCCCCAAGGCCCAAGGGACTGCATGGCCATCTAAAAGAGCCTGGACATTAGGGTCTGCAGAGACTTGGGGGAATGCTACAGGGTGAGAGGGCCGCATCTAAAGACACTCCTACGTGGAGGAAGCACCCATCGTCTTTTCCTATCTGGCTAGACCACAGATCAGACTCCTAAAGTCTGGCTTTATGGAAACAGCTGGGAAGCTTAGGGTGAATTTGGAGGGGATGGGATATTGAGAACCCACCGGGACGGGCCTTTATGGTCTGTCGCTGCGCCCTGGGTCAGTAGCGTTAAGTGCCAACATTTGCTCCTTTCAGTAGAAGTACTTCTGAGGTTTGTGGAGGCCTGCCTATTCCTAGAACTGTTACTCTACAGTCCAATTGAGAAATTTCCCACGAGTTGGGGGGGGGACCTGTACTTACACATTTTCTGGAAGTGGGAAAAAGGAGAGGCCAGGTGAGAAGACCAGCGCCCCTGGAAGCTATGGCGTCTGGCTGAGTTCCTAGAAGTCGGTCTTGCTACCAAGTGTGGAAGGTGTTCCTTTCTAATTGCTTCAAACTGGTTCTTAGTGAAGTCTTAGCTTCCTGGTGTGTGTGTGTATATGTGTTAGTGCAGCTTCCTGGTGTGTGTGTGTGTGTTTGTGCAGCTTCCTGGTGTGTGTGTGTGTGTGTGTGTGTGTGTGTGTGTGTGTGTGTTCGTGCAGCTTCCCGGGGTGTGTGTAGTGGATGTCAGTGTGTATATTTATCTCGGGTGAGTGCTAAGAAAACCTATCACTGAGGCTGGAGGACAGAAGTTGGGCATCTCCCTCACCCTAAATTAAATCCTTATTTCACTCCCAGTGACCTCTTTTTTATTCCCCGTTTTTCCTTTATATTAATTTTTATAACTCCAAGTAAGGAGAGTGGAGAGAGAAGTTAGCCAAGCTTTTTTTTTAATATTTATTTATTATGTATACAATATTCTGTCTGTGTGTATGCCTGCAGGCCAGAAGAGGGCACCAGACCTCGTTATAGATGGTTGTGAGCCACCTTGTGGTTGC